TCGCCGCAATCTATCGCCGGGGATTCGACGTCATGGTCAAGACTTGATGAGCTCGACCCGTTGACGTTCACGGACTTCCAGTGGATGCCCGTTCCCTCGACCGGACGATTGCAGAAACCACATTGCAATGTGCTCATGGCACAACTGCGGGACTACTTGCACACTGCAGTACCAGCTCCGTGGATGGACGCCGGAGTAGAGGTTGTCAACCTTCACGAGTGCATCGCGAAGATTGACCGCGAGTTCAAGACGCAACGGTACGACGACATCGACGCACCATTGCTATACATACGCATTCAGATCGGTGAGGCGACCTGCAGTGCCTTGATCGATTGCGGAGCATCTCGTAACTACATCAGCCAGGACTTCACGGTGCGCGCCGGCCTTGGCCCACGTGTCCGGAGGAAGTCCCAGCCTACGCAAGTCACGTTGGCAGACGGTCATACGCACAAGTCAATCGACCGGTGCATTGACATCGTCCCCGTGTACTTTGACCCTCACGCAAGTGAGGCGGTGTCCTTTGACATTCTGGACATCAAATTTGACATGATCTTGGGCATGTCATGGCTGCGAAGCGAGGATCACCTGGTGAACTTCTTCAACTGCACCGTTCACATTCGTGATCGGAACGGAGTACTAGTTCCATGAACGGTGCCTCTTCCTCATCCTTCTATCAACTGCCACGTGGTATCTGCCGCAAGCATGCGAGCATCCATCATCAGAGACGACATCGAGGAGATGGGGGTATGTTTTCTCCACGCCTTCCCGCCCCGAGACGCTTCATCGACGGACTCATCTTCGGATTCACGCATCACCAAGCTTCTCGACGCTTACAGCGACGTGTTCGAAGGCCCGCACGGAGTAGTACCGGATCGGCCCATCCGCCACGAGATCATCCTCGAGGACGGGGCCGTACCTCCGCGCGGCTGCATCTACCGAATGAGCGAGGAAGAGTTAAGTGTGCTCCGTGCACAACTCGACGATCTTCTAGAGAAAGGTTGGATTCGGCCTAGCTCATCGCCATACGGTGCTCCTGTCCTCTTCGTCCGGAAGAAGAACAAGGACATGCGGTTGTGCATCGATTATCGCAAGCTCAACGCGCAGACGATCARGAACGCCRGCCCTCTCCCACGCATCGACGACMTTCTCGAGCGATTGGGCGGCGCCCAGTTCTTCTCTAAGTTGGATCTCAAGTCAGGGTACCACCAACTCGAGATTCGCAAGGAGGATCGCTACAAGACCGCGTTCAAGACTCGGTATGGGCATTTCGAATGGCTGGTCATGCCGTTTGGCCTTACGAATGCCCCAGCCACTTTCCAAGCGGCTATGACAACGGAGTTCCGACACATGTTGGATCGGTTTGTACTCATCTACCTCGACGACATCTTGGTGTATAGTCGGAGTTTGGACGAGCATGTGGAACACCTGCGCACCGTTTTGGAGCGGCTACGACAAGCCAAGTACAAAGTCACATTCAAAGCATGCGATCACGACGACACTCGGTGGATTTCAGGAGCAGATTTGAAAGCATCCGCACCGCTGATCTACGCTCACTATGAACGTCRAAGGTTAGCCAAGGGACCTCCACGACCTGCCCCTCCCACCCGGACTGTGGTCCCTCCCTCAGACAGACAGCTTCGCCCTCGCAGGTAAGCTCGGTCTTTCAAGGAGGGGGGGGTGTGGCAGACTGCGTAGCCACACGGGCCCTGTATGACCCGTCCCGGACATTCAGCCTTAAAGCCTACAACTTCAGAGCTACAGGCCCCGGTCGTTTCAGCCTGAAAACTGAAAAACGAGGGTCTGCAGGCCCTACTCTGTTTCAGCCTATTTCTGGGTCTTTCAGACCCAGAGTTTTTCCAGCCCGAAACGGAGGGCTATTCTTAGGCCCTGGGCTATTTTTAGGCCCTCATTTGTTTCGACCTGCCCTAAGATTCAGGCACGAAAACTGGGTTTCGGAA